GGGGACGAGAAGCAATGAGAGGTCAAAACAACAACCATGCTGAACTGGAAATCAGAGGGTTGAAGCCGACAATTCACCCCGGTGTTCGGATCCTGTCTCATAATAAAAACTTCACAGGGAACTGAGGCAGCGTAAAAACACAGAGGGAGGATGAGTTTCTATTGTAGCTGAGGAATAAAGGATAAAACCCTTAGATTTTCAATGTGCCGTTGTACTCTGCCTCTTTTCAAGCCTCTACCAGAAAGTTATTCCAGCTCCTTTGAAACTGGTCCTCTTTTTTTTTTTCTTAAGGAGATCACTGACATGCCACGGTGGCATCCTTAACTGTACTTCTCCTCTTCCCACTCAGTGTGAACTGATTTTCATCGGCTGTGCTTCATAAACAACGGTTGAATAGTGCAGCTTTTTGTGGCTCAGGTGCACTTTGCTGTCTCTGGCTAATAAAAACTGAGATGTTTGTGGTGTTTTGTTTACTCACCTCTGCTGATAAATAAAAGGAATAAAGACAGATTGGGCTCAACTCTGCGAGCTAGTGCAGCGATTAAAAAGACAAAGTGCACACGTGGGAGAGGGGTGAGACGACGGTTCAATGAGCCAGTTAGTGACTGGAGTGTGTGTTGTTGTGTTGTATACTGTAATGACAGTAGTGTACTGTACTGTCTGCATCACCACTACGGCTGGATAAGTCCAGGTATAGCTTGTTATCACATGTCTATTCATTCTTCTTCTTCAGTCTTCAAGACTTTTACTGCTGTTTCTACCTGATCTCTTCAGCAGTCATTAATCGAAGGATTGTTAAGGATCAGTAAGTTAAAATTTTTAAAAAAAATTTAGACTTTATTCTATTAGTATTGGAGTCTGAAAGTTGTATTATTTTTTTAAAACTTACTAGAAATCTTTAAATGAATAAAGTTTAAATGGGAAAAGGAGCAGATTCTCTTTAAACTTCTTGTAAACAGAAATCTTGAAGACTTTTAAGATTATTTGAGAGAATGCAGTAAAGAGCTCTTATTTAACTCAACAGCATCTTCAAAGTATCATGGGCTGTTTTTGAATCATTTGTTTTACTTTAATTGCCATGGTCATGCAGAGATGGTTAATAATAACCTTGATGCACAGAGTTCCAGCAGAAGGGAATTAAAAGTTCCAGTGTAATCTGTGGTACTGCTCCTTTTGCGACGTCAGATTCTCTTCAGTCATTTCACCACTTCAAACGTCATCTGAGGAGATATTAAACATTTTTTGTCTTCTCTCTTCTACAGTTTGCAGTGTAAAAGACAACTCTTTTTTTGTGTGTAAATGTTTTTGTTTTTGTTCGTGCAGTTTGGTTTCCTAGAGCTACAGATGTAAGCGCAAACGTTTGTTAGCCTCCTTTATGTGACTGGACAATCCCAGTTTTAACCAACAGGGAATGGCACCAGCTCTGTCTGAGCAAAACATTTACCGAACATACAGCAGTTATTTAAAATTAATAACGTTAATGTGTTCCCATGTGTTGTAAACAAAATTAAGACACTGATTACTGCGCTCATCAGTGAGCTCCTCAAAGTGTTTAAGGTTAGAATTATAGCTTCAACAAACATAAGTATGAGTACATATGATTCCATGGGGCATGAATTTTGTTAGATGGGGCAAATAAGGCTGTCCACCAGCAGCACTGGTCTGCCTGACCTTTATACTTTGAGGGCTGTTCTCACAGCAGACAAGAAAAAACAATAATATGGTTCCAGTGACGTGAGTGTTGTGGAGAGTATTGAGGTTGCAACCCTTTGTGCGTGTTCATCTTTCTTTGAGGGAGATTTTGTCCTCATGGCCGTGGTCTTAGTGGCTCAGAATCAAACCTGTCAGCACAGATTCTTCTGAGGACTGCTGCTGGGCCAAAACAGAGTAAACTTCATGTGCGATGTCTGTGACAGCAATGATGCTTGAGGTTTTTTTTAATTTATTTATTTTTATAAAAAACTCTTTATTTTTGACACTGCAGTCTGTTAGAATCTGCAATGCATGGAAATTAAAACCCTTAGCGTCTAAATGTACTGACAGTTTCCTAGATATTTGTCATCAGAAATATACTATAGAATTTGAATTATTATTATTGACAACACCTTTGACACATTTACAGCTACTGATTAAAAAATCCACTAGTCTTTATTCACGTCTCTAGAGTTCTCCTTAAACTGATGGAATACAATTAAAACAACATAAAGCAATGTCTTAAAAGTCTTAAAAATGTCTTTTTTGCTGCACCCCACCTTGCAATAGCTTCATTTAAGGGACTCACCCCACGTTGGGAAACACTCATCAACAGCTACATTGTAAAACAAGCCTATTCGTTTGTTTTTCATTTTATCAATAATTAAAACAAACAGTCATTGGCAAGATTTTCTTTAGCAGAAGTATTTTATATTCATATATTGTCTCCTGGGCCACATCAATCTGTCCTGTATGTTGTGTTTGGCCCGGAGGCAGGAAATCCCAGATCCCAAGGATTAAGGAGAAGCGTGCATTCAGATGTGGTTAAGACCAGGTGTGAGTGACACATGAATTAATTCAGAGCAGTAGGAAAACATGCTTTCAATTATCAACTCTCCCCTCTCACTTACTGTACTTCCTTTACTGATACGCGTCCGCGTTGAGGCTCATTAAAAAACCCAGCAGAAAGGAAGAATGAGTCCAACTAAAAATAGTCATTGGCAGCTGACAGTGTTGACACGGAACTATTCTCGTTCTTAAAGGACAACGCGCAAACGATGAGCAACGTGGTGGATGATATACGACTGATG